AAAGTAATTATAGCATGGACATTTTTAGTCCCAGTAAGTAACATTGGATGGGATGAAAAATAACCCAATTTCCGATTCCCTCCCGCTCCCGGAATGACATCCTGCTTTAATAGGAAAAATCCATACATGAATTTGACAATGAAACATCAGGACATAACATTTGATAGGCATTGTTTAGAACTGTGCAGGTGACAGTATTATACAGTGACTTATTACAGATGTTTACTGTTAGGCATTTTCTGCAAGACCAAAGTGTGTCTTGGGAACTCAAATACTTTGATACTTTGGTGTTCTGCAGAAAGTTGAAAAAATGAGCATGACGTCAGACCAAAGCCACCCATAACTGAACATTGGTAGGATAATAATTCTGGGGCCTAGTGCTCAGTTGTGGATTGGCTTCAGTCCACATTATATTCATTCTTTTTAAAAGTAACTTTCTAAGCTCCGAAAAGATATGACAACCAAGAATTAATCTAAACTTTAATTACCTGATTTGTACTCATATAATTCTTCTTGTGGGTTTTTGTACAATTTTTGCCTTTGCTTGAGTCTTCTGAGAGTGCCTTGCTCTTTTTCCACCGCCTTGATCTCTTTTCGAGGTCATGGTAAGCTTCCTCACTCTCACTGCTATCTGGATAGTCTAAACTGGTAGCCTGTATATTAAAATTCACATCTAATTCACCATGTAATTGCGCTCTTTCTTCTCTGGGTCTGTGATTACAAATTCTCCTTTGTATCCAAGGCAAGCGGCTGGATCCCCTAGCCTCCCTTGAAGAACTGATGGATGATGTTTCAGAATCAGAGTATGTTGTCTCCTTGGCAAATAGCCCAGATGAAAGGGAGGTCACAGGCTGGTGCTGTTCATCACCACAAGCCAACTCAGTATTGCACTGGGAATCGGCATTGCTTGACAGCTGCTGCTTGGGCCTCCGCCGTAGCTTGTTCAAAGCCACATTCCAGTCATAGTCATCTTCGCTATCTGAACCCATCTCATCATAAGCAGATACAACATTGGATTCATTTTCCAAAGCCTGAAATACTTGGCTCTTTGGTTTGGCAAGCATTCGAGGGTGAGGCAATGTAACATTTTGCAAGGCCACCCAGTTTCCATCTGTACTTTCTAAAACAGGCGGAAAAGCTAAGGAAACAGAAGAATATAAATTTTTATTATCAGTGTATTCTAAACCAACTCATAGCTGTACTTTGATTTCTGCATAAAAGGGACTAAAGAATTGGATTTTTATGCCACTCATATTCTTAAGGAACAATGGATATTTATAACAGGCTTGCATCATATATGATGATGCAATGAAGAGAGGACAAAACTTGCAAACGTTACTTCTTTGGACAATATTTCCCCAAATCTTCTATCCATGGGATTGAGGGAGATGCAGTACTAAAATGAAACTGGAAATGGACTAATTGGGATTTGCCTCAAAATATCTGAAGTTCTGCTGTAACTTCAAGTACAAAAGGTTTCCAGGACAATAGATATAAGGTTTTGCAATAAGTAACACCTGTTTCTTTGTTTAAATTATATTGGTGGTGAGAGTAAATCTTTAGTATAAGGCATACATATATGCATCTAATTATTATCTGTGTTCTAGTGTGTGGATAATAATTCACATGTATGTGATTAATGCACATATTTCTCCCTACATGAATGTACTTTCCTTGCAAGGCTGTCTTAACTATTAGTCCTGACCATCTGTTAGCTCCTAACAGTGTGAGTCTAATGCAGCAGTGGAAGCACCTTCCTTTTGCATGCTGATCCAGAATGAGCAGCTGTGCTGAAGCTTACTGCCAAGCAGGGATCACCTGGGATAAAAAATGTAATGGAAATTGGCCGGATGATCTTGGCTAGATTAAGCCAAGTTCTTGTTGCAATTGTAGAATAAACAGTGCGGGACATGTGCATATAGTTTGCTAATGCATAGCAGAAAATACTGTCATACAATACCACTTCACTGTGGAGCACCAGCATCAATCTAAGTGCAGTTCCACACAATTTTAAAAAGAGGAATCCCACTGGTTTTGAAATAGCAGAGAACTGGATCCAGACTTAGTCATCTTTAGACAAGACGCACAATTGGATTTAAGTTAGCTATTATTCAAACTATTTATTTTGGTGTGGGTCTACTCCAAGCATGATCTGGATCTAGCCCAGAATGTTGAAAGACCTTGAAAATGTCAATTAAAACCAGAACCTTTATTTTTCAACTCTTTAAATAGACTTCTGTGCATAGTCAGATAAATCTAGCTTTTTAATATTTAGGCAGGTCAAAACACAAGTCTCCAACCATTTAATGATAGCTAAAACTGACTTTTGGAAAGCATTTCCTCTACAGCATAAACATGGCCAAGAAGGTGGAAAAAATACACAAAAGCTTTAGGTATCTGCATACACACACATGCATGAGTGCACGCACACACTCATGCCCCTCAGGAGGTGATTCTTTCATGCTGAACTGGTCAAATGCTGAATCTTTTGAAATTATCAATGTGTGATAGGTTCTCATGAACACCATGTGGTTGTACTTCTTTCTAGGCATTTCATCAGAAATATGGGCACAAATGACCTTGACAGGTTTTTTTTAACTGCTGCCTGACTACTTAATGTACAGATGGAACAGAAGCAGTAGACTTAAAAAACTCACACAAATACAGCTGCCCCAGCTCAGAAGGGAACATAACATACATGGAAGCAAGTTTTTTGTGTATCTTTAGGTGGATGAGGGCCTGCATATGCAAATAGTGGCAATTTCTTCCCCAGCCTATTGCTGGGGATGAGAAATGATCACTAGTGTTAAGTAGTTTAGCATTTGCCCACGTAAGGCATAATTTTGATAGCAATTATACAAGATCATATGTTCTGAGGCAGAAACCTACCTATCTTTAGAATCAGACATATTCTAATTCATATGTATAGTGTCAGACCATATACTTTCAATTATGCAGAGTACTGAATTGAGCAGAGAATTTCTGAATACTGAACTTCTGGAAAGTGTGAAGGAAATTCTGAAAACAGAGTCCAGTCTTTTGGATAAATGTGCTTCATCTTTTTTCTCAGAGATAGGTGGTCATTTTGAGCACATGGTTTAAGAGCTATAACCATTCAATCAGTTTGTTCCTTTACTGCACCTTTCTCATTTCTCTTAGTTTCATTCTAAAAGCCCAGGTAAAAATAAATGTCATGTAAGTATTATTGACCTTTACTTGGTTCATTTAATCGGTCCACACTCTTCCAGCTGGGCATTGCAGAGGGTCTGTGTTCTTTCTGTTTCCTGACTGGGCCTTTTGGTTGACTCCAGAGAGACTCAGGCACAGACGATGCTACGACCATGTCTCTGCTTGATGTATCTTCAGTAGCCAGTGAGAATGCCGACTGAGACCTCTGTTAAAGAAGAACAGAGAGAAAAATTTCTTTAACAAAGGCCAGGTATGGACATGTTAAGTGTAATTTATCTGCACAAATAAATCTCTGACAGTGGCTGGAACCTGGCTGGTCGAAGCATGCAGAAGTTAAATTACATAATCCATTGTGGTGAATTGCCACTAACTAATAAAGTGCCAGTCATTTCATGAGACATATGCCTGACTGTGCATTCTACACAAGTCTAGTAATATGATTGCCACAACATTGGTCAATAGCATTTGCCACAGCGCAATTTAATTTATGAATACATAAATCACCGGGTAAGTAGGGCTCGTCAGCCATGTAAGGCAGCCCATCTAGGAGAAGGAAAACTCCAATTTCAAACCTCCAGTGCCTTGTGACTATATACACTGGTGGAAAAGGCTTCAGGAGTTAACCTAGAGGAAAAATCCGGAGCCAGAGTCCCGAAGGCAGTTCGTGTCGTTCTGCCAACTACTGCGACGTTGCTGGAACCAATTGTATTGACTCTTGCCTTTCCATTGGACCATTTCAGCAACATGGAGAGGGGGGATCTGCTGCTTGGGTAACAGCCTATCCTCCATATTACTTTACCCAGGCTTCATGCTCTGGAGAGGACACTCCTCAATACAGAGCATGTTACCATAGTCTCTCGAGACTGAAGGATGCCTATGCAAATCACCAGTAGGATTTGGGCCACTGAGATGTGCTGTTTATTGGGTGGGACAGAGAACAGAATTTCACTTGTTCAGTTCTAAAATGTAAAAATTTTTATCCATTCATTGCCAGTTTGTTTGAGAAACTGACACTATATTGTTGCAATGGGGAACTTCCACCCACAGTGTTTTTGATCACGGCTCACACATTCTTTTACTACTAGAATGGGCTTCTGAGAAGTAATGTTCAAGCATCTGGAGGGCCAAAGATTCCACATCCCTCCTAGTCTCTGTATACAAGGTAGCAAGTGAAGGTTGCTATCAAGGTTAGGTTATTACATTAGGGATTGAAGGGGGAAACTCTATTAGATGACAACGACCAAGTCTATCCCAGGGTTGGGCCATTTTTTGCCTCCCCAGCATGATAAAGGATCCTTGTATTGGCCTTTCTGTTGCTCTTTGGTCCAGTAGTTCCTAAAAAGTAGCTGTTCATCCTGATCATCAACATGCAGTGACTTCTCACTTCCTCCCTCTCCTCCCCAGAAGGATAATCAAGGATTTCCCCACACTGTCTGAGGTTAATTATCCATTTTACTCTTGGCTTGGCTATATTAATTCATCAATTATTAATGTGGTACAAGTAAATAGTGAAGCGGCAGGCCCAATTATGGCAGCTAATTAAATTCCATAATGATAATGCTACAACTGCATTTCCCAAAATATATTGGTACTTTATTCTCAAAATATCCTTAACTTTCTATATTTATATACAGTGGTGCTTTGACTTACGAACGCCTTGACCTACGAACATTTTGAGTTACGAACAGCTCCGTTCACAAAATTTTGCTTTGACTTGCGAATGGAACTTAGACTTACGAACAGAAAAAAGGCAGGGGAAAAGCCGGGAAATTCAAATAGCTAACTGTAGGTGGCAACAAGGCTGAGAGAGTGTGCGATCTGAGGAGCCTGCCTGCTAACGTAAGGTGCTGCTTTATACTTTTAAAAAACTGTGTTTTTTGCAGCGTGATTTTCAGCTGGGGGGTTATGTTTCCATGCTGTGATGGGTCTTGGGGGGTGATTGATTGTTTTTTGTTTCTTCCCCTCCGCATTTCTGATGGGGGGTTGGATCCTTTTTGGAGTGTTTTTCCCATTTCTGATGGGTCTTGGGGAATGTGTTTTTTTTGTCCCCCCCCCATTTCTGATGGGTCTTGGGAGGTTTGGTTGCTTTTTGGGTCCCCCCCATTTTTGATGTGTCTTGCATGCTTTTTGCTTTGTTCTCTTTGCATTTCTGATCTGCTCCATTTGTTTTTGCAGTGGTTCCTACATGCTTCACTTGCTTTTTTGCTTCGTTCTCTTTGCATTTCTAATCTGCTCGTTTGTTTTTGCAATTGTTCATACATGCTTCCCTTGCTATTTTGCTTCATTCTCTATGCATTTCTAATCTGCTCTGTTTGTTTTTGCAATGGCTCCTGCATGCTTCCCTTGCTTTCTTGCTTCATTCTCTGAATTTCTGATCTGCTCTGTTTGTTTTCTGTGCTTTTGCAATGGTTCCTGCATGCTTCCCTTACAAATCAGAAAAGTTTTTGCAAGGCTCTGTGCTAGCTTGGTTTAAAATGTGTTAGTGTAAAATGTGTTAGTTTCACATTCGTTTTAGACTCCAAACTCTCTCGCTCCCCCATTGTCTTCTCTCTCTGTGTCTTCCTCCTTTCCTGTCCTTTTTTAAACCTAAGTCATCTTAGGTTAAAAATAATTATCCCCCTAGTGGTAGAGGATGGATTAACCGGTTTTGCATTAGTTCCTATGGGAACGGATGCATTGACTTACAAACTGTGCCTTGACATACAGTGGTGCCTCGCATGACGATGATAATCCGTTCCAGGAAAAATTCTGTCAAGCGAAATCGTCGTCATGCGAAAAAGAATTCCCCATTGGAATGCATTGAAACCTATTTAATGCATTCCAATGGGGAAATTACCTCGTTGTCCAGCGAAGATCGCCCATAGGGGAAGCCATTTTCCGAGCGCTGATCAGCTGTTAAAATGGCTGCCCTGCAAAGCATGGGTCTGTAAAAGACAGGGCAGCCATTTTGCGGAGCCGGAAAAATTTTCATTTTGCAAACAAACGGTTCGTGAAGCAAGGACCTAATTGATGTACAGGGGGAAAAAAACATAGGAAACATCATTTTGTGATCGCTATAGTGATAGCAAAAAAAGTCATCATGTGATTTCATTGTTCTGAGGGGTCGTCGTAATGCTGGGCACCACTGTATGAACAAAAAACAGCCGGAATGGATTAATCGGGTTTCAGTGCATTCCTGTGGGAAATGCTACTTTGACTTACGAACGTTTTGACTTATGAACACCATTCCATTATGGATTAAGTTTGTAAGTCTAGGCACCACTGTACTTCAACCATTATGCTTATTTACATTCATCTAGATAACAGACAACAGACAATAACAGCTGGTGTAACTGAGGGGTTTGGAATGCCTGATTATAGAACTAAGAGGCGGGAGTTTGAATACTCACTATGACTCTTGGAAGAGAGGCTTGCCAAGATCACCTGGACCATGTGAGGCTGATGGATTATGTGCTTTGCCACTTATTGAGTTTCTGGCAAGCTGCATGGTGCTAGAGTAACACCAGAAAGAGGGGCTGGCAAGGTACTTCTGAATGGTTCATATCTGGATAACCCTGGGAGGGTTGCCATAAGTAATAGTTGGCTTGGATTCCCAGTGTGGTATAATACCGTGTTTCCCCGATAATAAGACACTGTCTTATTATTTTTGGGGGACAGAAAAACACCAGAGGGCTTATTTTCAGGGGAGGGCTTATTTTAATGAACATTGACAGCCATTTCGGCTGTTCCGGTGGCCATTTAAACCCAAAAAACGCGGGGAAGGAGGAGGAGCCGCCGCCGCCGCAAGAGTGATGCGGGGCGCGCTGGCCGGGCAGGCAGGCAGGCAGTCGGGAGGGAGGGAAGAGGCGCGTGCGCGCTCACCCGGCCAACCCCCTTTCCCTCTTCCTCCTCTTCCTCCTCCTCCACTTTCCCTCTTCCTCCCTCCCGACTGCCTGCCCACCTGCTTTCCTCCCGCCGGCGGCAGGAGGAGGAAGAGGAGGAGGGAATGCGGGGGGGGTGGCCGGGCGAGCGTGCGAGCACCGCTTCCCTCCCTCCTGACCACCGCCAGGAGGAACGCTCGCTCGCCTGGCCACCCCCCCTTTCCCTCTTCCCCCTCCTCCTCCTCCTCCTGCCGCCGCCCCCCCAAAGCCTCTTCCCGGGGCCCCATCTTATACGGCCGGTCGTGTTACACGCCGGCATATACGGGCAGGGCTTATTTTCGGGGGGGGGCTT